CATGAGTTCATTAAAGGTTTGTCCAAGATTTTGGAGAAACTGTTTCTTGTTAGAGATGCTAATAGGTTCCACAAGTTTGAAAATGGAGAATGCTCCTGTGGAGATTATTGGTAATACCACTTCAATACTTTTACCATACTGTATTGAATAAACTTGAACAATACATAAAATTGAACAAGACAATGGATGCAATTTCAATTTTCTACTTCGATACTGTCTAATTCAAACCGAATAAGTAATTTAACGTAAATTATTAGCTGAATCTCGCGAAAGGCCAGAACAAATGACTTGAACCCTCGTAAAAAGAACGCTCATTCTTATTTTGAATATCCCCGAGCCCATCACGCAGGCCATGCCCATGTACAGGCAAATGCTTGGTCAAATGTTACAATAAAACTAAGCAATTTGTTCATATAGAAACCAAAACTGTAATGCCAAGGTAATAACATTATAAGGGGGAAATCAAAGGAGATTAAGCTACAAAAAATCCAGCAGCCCCTATGACGCGAGACCAACAGCATTACAATAGATGAGGCATATACTCAAGCATTAGCCAGCATCTGCTCATGAATGTCAGTATCCGGGCTTCCTTCTTCTCTGGCAGAAGTTTCTCCTTGTGCTCCTTCAGTATCTGCTCCACTGTCTTTTTTGCCAGACCAACCATACATTTTTCTCCGGGCATCCCTACGTGCTGCTCGGTCAGCTAATTTGATTTCTCTAAATTGCTCTTCTAGACGATCCTCATCCTCGGGTGTGAAGAAAACTACCTCCATCTTCCCAAGTTCTTCGTACATCTTCTCAATTTTAGCTTTCCAGAAAAGGCCCATCTCCGTGTCCATCTTGTGGTATGGAGTTTTTAGCAAGTACTCATCTATCCCGCCTGCCTTATCTATACAGCGGATAGCATGAGTGGTTACCTTAACACGAATGTGGCGATCAAGAATGTAGCTGAAGAGCCGTTTGTCCTGCACATTAGGCTTCCAATTCCTCCTTGTCCTATCATTGTTATTAAACTAATAAGATTCAATGCAATATCTTCATTATTCCCTCATTCCATGGATGAGAGTTGAATATGCATAATGGAAGCTAAAAGAAAGTATCGTACTCATTACTTCTTATACCATAATTGCAAGTCAGTCTCAAAAATTTACTACAAAATACTCCAAATATAACTAGCCAATGTACTAATTTACCAGTAATTGAGGGCATTAAAGTTAAATCTAGCTACAATTTTTTAATAAGCAATCACTAGATATATCAATTCTATGGTTGGACTGTCAGCACTAATAAATTGTGTCAAAACAGACACAGCTCACACCTTGGATCCTTATGTTTTCCCCATTTCCAAGCATACATATCAATAAAATCCAGTCTAAGGCCATATAGATACTTTTTACTTTAGTTTCACTTAAGGTGTGCTATTTTGTGCCAAATATACACAACTTTTGCTCAAAAGAGTATACGC